TGGCGGCCTGATAATCCCGCCCTCCTGGTATGTGAACTAGTCGCAGACAACGCGGAAAGTTACCATCAAGAATATGATGGGGTGAACAAGTAGACAACCTATCATTCGGCCATGCCGGCGCACATGAACAGCGAAAGATGATATGGTGGTTCTCGGTTGCATAGGTCGGTTGCCAGTCAAGGCGAATAGCTTTCATGTTGGTGTCCGTTCCTCTGAGTCTGTCCGCACAAGCACTCGCGACCAGCAATTACATCGACCTATCTTGGACACATGAGTATGATATGAGGATAGCGCAGTAGCAAGCGAAATAGATACGAAGTTCACACCCATCTATAGAGCCGTAAATTCAGTAGCATCGTTCGAGAGCCAACGGTTCACTCTCCAGCCTATAACTGTATGGAAGAAGCGACATGAGTATTTCGGGACAAGGCCAAGCCGCGAAATGGATATCAAGGTAGATATCAGGTGGGAGGCCATATTCTGTTGCCAGAAAAACTTCTAATACATGACCACTTCAAGTAATCAGGGCACTTGGCAAGCCGCGACTGGGTAGCACTGGGAAGTACCTAGTCATCGCGGGCAGAAGACGGCCCGGGAAGAACTTCACTAGGTTAAGTACTACGTTTACGCAAGGGATCCAAGCCGATAATGTCACAACTGCCTGTTTTGTAAGCCCCGAAACCCGACTGGATTAGATGCGGCACACCGCCGATCCGGAGCCGACGGGCCGGGTTACGACCGGGGGATGTAAGACAATTTCCATCAACGCCGGCCTTCCTTGCCAGTCACAGCAATTAAACTAACATTTGTGGTGCGATATAGCTAGAAAAGTAAAATATTTATCAGCGTGGGCAAAGGTGGCAATAGATTAGTACTCCCCTATTACTGTGATGTGAGATGGGCAGGGCATTACTAAACAGCACAACAACTGGCAAATTGAATGCGACGGTCTGACAACTTCAATACAAAAACCAGTTGCTTATAAAATGGATATGGCCGGCACCCCTTCTTCCTACATGTGGCCGACTTACTAGACGCAAATGATCAAATAATGTGGGTTCAGTAGTTCAAAACCCCTCGTGTAAATGAGTAGGAAGATAAGGTGCCACAGTCTACAGTATCTACTTTATCTATCTCGGTTGGGCACATTTCTATACTAGGTAGTGTAGCGACATGAAATTTCACGGGTTGGTGAGCGATCTTGAAGCCCGTAGGTGTGGGGCTTCGAATAGGGGTAACATGTTGTGAGCAGGTACAGTTAACAAGCTTGTTTTTTGTCAGGGCCTAGTTGAGGACAGTTGCATCCAAGCTCTAGATTTCTTATTATAGCCCCTAGGCCACCTCGACGGTTATGTAAAATTTGGCAGGTGCAGACTGGCTGCGCTCCACACGAATGCTCATCGTACGACCAGAGCAATGACAGGTGTTGATGAATTCCAAAGGTTCACTTCCCGAGCCGTGGCAGGTACGGCAACGGCGCCATTCGTATCTTGAATTCAAAAAGCCCGTCCCGCTACACAGATCGCACCCAGGTCCAAACCCGGGACTGGAGATCTCAACTTCCATCAGTGCGTGTCTGATGATGCTTCCAATGTCGTAGTTGGTCAAGGATGATTGGGGGACGTTTGTTTCCTTTGAATCCATTATGACGACCTGGTAGCTAATGACGCATTAGCTTGGTGGAGATACTAGTATAGGAAGTCACGCAACAAGTAGCTACCAAAAAGGTAGGACCAGGGAAGTTGTATGGTAGTGGTGCGTTTACTTACTGTGGATCGAAGGTAAGGACGAAGAGATTTGTTTCTTGGTGGGCTTTAAATCGGTTTACCTAGCAAACCGCTCGAAGGGGGCCAAGGCTGATTTTATCTTATTGTAACGAAGACGTGATCTGTGAGATGGACGGCAACGAGAACATTTTGGCATAAATGAAAGCGGCTTTTATACACCATTAAAAGCATACTAGAGTACTTGTTGTCTCGAGGTCTTCTAAAAGTACTTGCTTGACCTGACCATCCCGAGACAATGAAGAAGCAATGGGCATGAAGTCACCTACTAGCGTCGAGATAGTCTCCGCGACAGCCATAGTCTCTAGGATAAGCGGCGACGGCAGCCCTTAGGTACCAAACAGACAGTGTGAATACTTCCGTGGTATGCATCACTTCGGGCAGATCGATGACAGTCCTTAGTGTATTCCTCCCATACCGCGCTACATGTATACAATGTTAGAAATACGAGGAAGACGGAATCAGACCTGCAAGTCCTTCCTTGTTGAGCTTTCTGACGACAGAGAGTTTCAAGTAATGGAGATGGAGGCGTCGAGAAGAGCCAATGTCGGGGCCAGGATACCAGTAATCGAGGCAATGAACAGCGAAAGGCTATCCCTCACTTCGGGCTAGTGAGTCCAGAGCTAGACCACCGGAAGACTTCGACAAGTAGTTTGTGGAGCAATGATCGAGGGACTTGGTCTCCTTCAAGGTCGACATCGTGATACCAAGTGCATGCTCAGCTGTCAGAACGCCTCTCCCTTACTTTAAAAGTTCCAAGATGAAGAGAGAAATAATGACGAGACGACATATCTGTAATAACATTTGGCGCTATAGCAGCTAAGAAGCCACTTCATAGATAGTAAACCCGGGCGTAGAGTCAACCACCGCCATAAGTGAGTCGACTTGGTTTTAGGTACCCAGCCGTAACTCCGTATCAAAACGGGAACCGGAAGTAAGGGAGAATTGAAATCGAGGTAAGGGAGAAGATATATGTTTATGTATGTCTATAACTTCCATGCTGAGCACCCAATGAACAACTCGGTTAGTACAAATGGCCGGGAGGGTCTCCTCTTTACCAGGCGATCGGCCGCCCAAGGCTTTCAGGTGGGCTGCAGTCAGTACCAGGCGTCAGGGGTAAGTTACCATCTAGCCTAGACGCATGAACGGGGAAACCGCATGGGGGCAGCCGTTCCTCAAATTCATTGGAAGTGGTTCGTCATGACCTGGCTGTCGTCCAGACCGGACCCAGAAGAAATGATTCAGCATACGTAGCACGAGGTAGCTGGACGGTGAGCAATACGATGCAAAGTGCAAAAGTGAATCTATAGGCCGTGAGTTCTTTATGATGCATAGCCTCAAACTCCAGACGTCAGGGTGTAGAGGCGGAAAAAGCGTCGCCTGGCCTTTTTCCGGACCAGAAGCGACGCCATAATGGAAGGGGAGGTGAAACCAAAGTCAAAGCCTGAGTTATCGTCCTCGTTCTCTCTAGTTGGAAAATCAATGAACCTTCGTAGCCTCTATTTACGTCTGGCTAGGAAACTAGCGTGGAAAACAAAACCTGGGGGCTTCCACCACATGGATATTTCAGAGGTTAGCCTATCCTTCAGCAGGTATCAGTGCATCATGTCTCGCGGCGCTTAGACTTGTTGGCGTTACACTTGGAGTAAAGTATGCAGGAGCGAGCGAAGCAGCAGGCAGTTAGTACTCGGGGGTACCTACCGCTCCAGGGGCGAACACAAGGCACTGTCCCGCTTGCTTCCTTTTGTTTCTGGGATACCTATCATGATATTGATATTTTCGCACGGAAAATATTTTTGTTCCACGCGTTCCATTGAGGAACTTACGGAGGTCATTCTTTAGGCCTGGGGATCTCCAAGAACCATTACTAGGTGATCATTCGTTTACCTGCACGGTGTGTTGTCTCGCAGTGACTTCCCGGGCAGTTGAGTTCAATAGGGGACGCAGCGTGACTCATCCGTCGTTTCTCGTCCAGAAAACGAAGAGATTGGATGGGTATGCATCTAACAGGGCGATATGGTCTCAGTACGACGCTGTAATGATAGGTTCCCATGGCTCATGTCGAGATGATGGTGGGTAGGCCTAGGATTAATCGCGAGAATGAGGCAATATACTTGTTGCAAACTCGCACCGGAGCATTAACAGAGTCCCAACCCACATGGCTTGATGTTTCATAAGGATAAGGTCGGTTTCGAGTGTGTCCGGTATATACGCGGGCTTAGTACGTGGCGGCGCAATACTGGTGTGTGGTATCAGACGTGATCTGCCCTCCATCAGTTAGCGGTTACTGTATGCCGGTAGACAGTCGCAGTTTGTTCCCTATTCTCTGATTTTGCTGCCGTGGTTTGGTTTGTGCTACCAACTCCTCCCTACAAACTTCCTTCCTACTCAACCTGTATGGGAAGAATATGGATTGACGCCGTGTTTCTTGCGTCACTCTGGGTGTTATTCGGTCAGATATAAAGGGTATTTTCAACGACCATCAGCCCTACGAACTGCTGCTTCAGAGAAATTGCGCAAATGTCGCTCGTGTTTATGTTTCTTTTTCTCGCCAGTAAACCCGTTTATCGCACGTTTCTTGGCGTCGACTCGCAGATACTGCAGTTCTTCTCCCCTGAACAAGTCCCTTGTCACCTAGGTAGGTAATCTAGTGCTGCGCCAGCCGAGCCACGAGATCCCGTTTGGGCATTCATGTCATGTCGGATTCTATTACCCGCGACCGGATACTCGGTAAAGCTTGGGTTACTCTAGCATGTCGGGCTTCATTTCCACAGCCGAAGGGGTAGATAGGGCAATTGCATAGTCCAAGGCGATAATTCTATCTCATTCGTGTCTTGTAAATGGCAACCAGCAGGCTTGTGTAGCGCTCGGCCGCAACCATCATCTTTATCATCCCTTGCATAGAGCTTGAACAGCAACCAACAACCGGCTTGGCCAACACAATTTGTTTCAATCGCTTCACACGGTTCTAACTCTGCTTCATTTCCATTCGAATCTCCCAATTCCCCATTTCGAAAATCGTGAGGCGACTTAACTTGAACTGTTTCCAACAATAAGACGGTCTGGTGGTCTAGTGGTATGATTCTCGCTTAGGGTTCACCCTACAGCAAATATGCGAGAGGTCCCGGGTTCAATCCCCGGCCAGACCCGATTGAAGTCTCTTCCTGCTGGCTTTGGCTATGTCCGAGCCGCCAGAATAGCTCTTTATTTCTAATATCTTGATTGGTCTAGTGGTTAGGATACCTGCTTGTCATGAGTGGTCATCGATTAGGTGCCCTCGAACAATGCGCAGGTGGCCGGGGTTCGATTCCCCGATCGAGAGAATTCTTTTTTCTAGACCGTTTTTTTTAAAGTTCTACGGGCTGAGTTGGTAAAGTTCGTTCGCAACCTTGTCGCTAGTCACCGACGTCTTGATATGACGTAGGTCTAGCCGCGTTTACAAAGCGACTACTTGTAGGCGCTCGCAACAATTGTGACGTTGGCAAGCCTACCTGGCGCATGAATAATGCTAGGTTTCTAAATTGTCCCTCCCCCCATTCAATTCATTTGTTATCCTGTGCCTATAGACGATCGGTAACAGTAAGAAAGGTTTCCATCAATATACTTGTAGCTTTGGCAAAAGTTGCTGGGCTATAGCTTGCTATGATCGCGGATGCGTGTATAAGCGTAGTGCCAACCCTCGGTTCTCACTACAGTGAACTGGTTAGCAGGCAGTCCAGGCTGGGGTCCGTCTACTTTGCAGTAGAGCATTGCGAGCGCCTCCAGTATGAAGCCTTTGCAGATACTTACTATCTTGCCGAACTTTGTAGTTGTCCTCGGCGATCCTTAAAACTTCCATGTCCACGTCCACAACAGACACCCCCTCGGCGCGACCTAGACGTCCGACCCCTCCAATGTGTGGTAGGCCCACTTGACTCAAACCCGCAAAGCTGGTATTCTCCCCTTTCTTAGGCGGACCACCGGCATTGACAAACACGACAGCACAGGTGTTTTCATATGCACGGCTCACGACGGTGCTATTCAGAAATAAGGCCTCGCCGTCCGGGTTCAATGCATAGCCCTCGTCAGATACATCACGCATGCTCCAGAACGTGGGGACGCAGATAATTTGCGCGCCATCAGCGATAAGTTCCCGGAATGCCTCGGGAAAGGCCATGTCCCAGCAGATGAGCAGACCCACGCGTCCCAGCGGTGTATCGAAGGCCGTGTGCGGTTCATGGGCCGACGAGACGAGGTGGCGCCGCTCCGGGTGCCAGAGATTCTTTTTCTGGTATCGCCCAGCGATCTGACCATCGGATGAAACGAAATAGGCCACGTTTTGTAGTGATTCGCCGTTTATCTCAAGAATGGTTCCAGGGACAATACATATGCCTAGCTCTTTCGCAAGGTTCCGATACTTCTGGAGGTAGGTTTGAGAGTTTGCGCATGACTCCTTGAAGCCTGGCTCATCCGGGACCCAAGACGTTAGATGATATTCGGGCAAAACAGCTAGATGGCAACCTTTGACAGCTGCATCGCGTATAAAGGTTGCGGCCTTTTCGAAATTTTTAGCTGGCGATAATGGCTGTTATCAAAGGTAAGCGTTCGACTTCTAACCTGGGATGTGTGTTTGTTCAAAGTCGAACCTCAATGGTGTTTTACCCCACTAAGGAGATCTTGGGCGAGGCCGGTTGCTATTCAGGGAACGGCACGCATTGCTTACTTTGGGGTGAAGCTGGACTAAAGCTACTTTATAGATCGGTGCCATCTCGAACCAAGAGCTGGAGGCCAATTGTAGTAGACCAGGGAATATGCTGCTCAAGTTTACCAACTTGGAGATGGAGCAAGTCAAGATGGTCTAGGTACAAACAACGTTTCACAGGATGGAGCTCGGCACTCGCCCGGGGGACGGGGCACCTCGGACTAAATCAGACCGGCAACACTGGCGTGTTTAATGTGCGGGCTAAACTTTAATATCGGCAACTGCTGTCGCCATAATGAAAAACAAAGATCGGGACTGGGGAGGATTACAGCATATACATACCATATAACTGCTGTCGGTGATGGAATGTCTTTCTTCCACTTTTGGATGCTTTATCTATAGGTAATAACAATCCTGGTGGACATGGCATGATTGGGATTGATGTAACAAGTTTGGGAGGTAGGTAGAAACGCCAGGGGAATATATTCCCGGGTGGCCAAAGCTGTAAACAGCCTATAAGCACCTAACCTTAAGGTTTGTCCTGGCTTCTCCATCACCCCACCTAGTCCAGCAACTGCGCGCTCCCGGATACTTTTACCTACCAGTAGGTACGCACCGCGACGAACACAGCTCCAAACTCAGGCGCTGCCTTCCAATAAGTACATATCGTCCTTTCCCAAGTTCTATATATTCCCACGTTCATCCAGTTGCGACTGCCTAGATGTTAGTATCTCCTACGCAAGGTACGGGTGGATGTGATGACCCCTGGAAGGAGCTACCCGACCTTTTAAGGGCGACCAACGACCCTGCATCTCGCGCAAGCCATAAGGAGGCATGTCTTCACCTAGCATGAACTTCGTCATCCGACCCGGCAGCAATAGAGGTCATTTATACAGTAAAATCAACCTACGAACGAACTATTCTTAGCATTAGACTATGCCTTCGCTGAGCACGCTCTTTACGCCTCCACTTTGGTGCTCGAATAGGTACGCTGTCTATATCGACGACCATCCACGCCACAGCAGCACGATTCCACCGAGCAGTGGTTGGGTCGACCCGTCCTTCACCAAATGCATACCATCTCAGTACACCTCGCCCTACCCTACCTTTAGTCCAGGCGTGTGCCTAGCCCAGATGGAAATCGTCAGAACCACATCTGTAGTCCAACAAGGCGAGACGACTTAGGTAGCCGCATGCTGCCAGAGGTACGCAACCATTGAGCTCACCTCGTCTCTGAAATGCTCGAGTTTACAGTGCTAACGCTCTTGCTGATAGCGGATTCTCCCCAATGTCGCTGGAACCCGAGTTCCTATGTACTTCCACCATTACAAGTCCTATGAGCTTTCTGCTTGATCCCAACATCTCAACTACCGATTTGTACACGACGATAGCGCCCCCAGAACCTCCAACTCCGCCGCTCTGGATTGAGCACGATCAAATAACGGTTCAATGGGAACGAGGCGACCTGGATCTCTTCCCCGAAGCTATAGCATCTCAGTACTCGAAAATAATGGGCATTGCCGATTCGGATTCTACGGGTGACGCGTTGGCGAGGGCGATTCCGAGTCTCGCGTGGCCTACCGACACCCCGAGACCTCGGCCAGCCGAACCCGGAGCGGACAACTCGGCTTTCACAGCTACCAGGTCGATCGAATCACAGCCGAATTAATTCCATCCGTGCCTCTAGGTTTCCCGCCTTTGGGAGCACACTTCAGGCGATCCTGCCGAGGGTGATGTCTATAAGAGATACAACGTCACGTCCGTGTTGATGCGGGAACCTATACATGCTATATTGAAACCGCAGCAACCTGCAGGGACCGGGAAAAATGCATTCTCCAATTATAGCGGCAGAGATGAGGGGTGAGATCGGCCAGTTCCCCGGTTTCCTAGGAGAGATTCATCGGCGGGGCAGGAATACGAACTCCACCACCGTGCCCTTGGGGAATGAGACAAAACAGAGAGGATCATCGTGTAGATGCACGTCAATTGGCTACATTTGAGTTACTCGGTATTGATTCAAGTTTTGTACGAACCGTTTGCACATGATCAATCGGGCCGTGCACGCATGCATATGCGATGTTACTCATTGCAAACGACCGCCCAGTGTTGCGGGGGAGAAGGGAGAGGGGAGCTCCGAGCTCTTACCCCTGCGATGCTACATTGCATCATGACGGTTGCCAACGAAACAGATCGGCTTCGTGGTAGATAAAACATCAAGTTGTTTACATAGAGGAATAAATAGTCTTCTGTGCTATTTATCTACACGTGCGCGCACTACATACACCTCTTAAGCCCTTTATGACTACGAAGCATTTTTTAGTTGAAACAAGCCAGCAACAAATAGCGATCCATTCGGCCTCCATTCTGTTGGCATGCTTCTAACCACTATTTACCTCTTAGCTTTCCTAGCTACCCCCCAGTTACTCAGGGGAGTCAACGCGCAAGATATTATAGAAGATGACACCGAATTCTATGGCCAATCACCGCCAGTCTATCCTTCTCGTCAGTTGACCCCGTCCTCCGTCCAGTCCAGCTCGTTAACATTGTGGCAGCCGATGGAACGGGCACAGGCGAATGGGCGGACGCCTACTCTCAAGCTAAGATTCTCGTATCTGAGTTGAGCCTTGAAGAAAAGGTGCGTTGATCAGAAACAACACCACGATGTATTTCCCAAACATCACTGAGACGAAGAATCTTTCTTAGGTCACCCTCACAGGCGGCATCTCTACGGGCAGTGCATGCTCCGGCATCATCACCTCCATTCCTAAAGTCAACTTCACAGGACTATGTCTGAGCGACGCCGGAAATGGTTTGAGGTCGACAAATTTCGTCTCTAGTTGGCCAGCAGGCTTATCGGTGGGAGCAAGGTACTCATCGAGCCACAACCAAATCGTTAAAGGGGTATACCTACTCATATCGTGTATAGCTGGAACAGGGAACTAGCCCAGCAAAGGGCAATTGAAAGTGCGTATCAAAGGACCCCAGACAAGATGAGGCCTACAGTTCCCCGGAACTAATAAACGGTCAACTGCAGTGGGTAGTGAATTTCGAGCCAAAGGGGTGAACATGCTCCTTGGTCCCGTCGTAGGGCCGTTGGGCCGTATTGCTTCAAGTGGAAGAAACTGGGAAGGTATTTATCTATTCAAATCTGCACCTGATGCTAGCTTTCCCGAACGCCCAGTTGACAGATTATTGTTAGGCTTCTCCAACGACCCCTATCTCTGCGGTGCATTGGCATACCAGACTGTCCAGGGTGTTCAGTCAAAGGGTGTCATCACGAGTACCAAGGTACAGTCTGTTTCTCTGCCTAGTCTCTTCGCTCTCTGCCATATTATCATCGTCCGTATCTGTCTCCGTGACGGTACTAACTGTGGCAGCACTTCATCGCAAACGAACAAGAAACGAACAGAAATCCCGAAGGCGATATTACCGCGGTTTCCTCCAATATCGACGATAAGACAATGCACGAGCTATATCTTTGGTGCGTTGCGAGCGAGATAACGTTCTAGAAGCCCAAGGTTTTTCTGTTGCTGACAAGCCCCTTCTGTTCAACTAGGCCGTTCCAGGATGCCGTAAAGGCTGGCACGGGCAACATAATGTGTTCCTACAACCGAGTAAACAACTCGTACGGATGTTCCAAT